AACTATGCAGGCCAGATGGGAGTGGCAAGAAATATTCAAAGTGATGAATAGCAAGAACCTACAACCAAGATTACTCTACCCAGCAAAGTTATCATTCAGAATTGAAGGGCAGATAAAGAGCTTCACAGATAAGAAAAAGTTAAAGGAGTTCATCACCACCAAACCAGTACTATATGAAATGCTGAAAGGTATTCTTTTAGAAGAGGAAGAAGAAGAAACAAGTAAAGATAAAAATTATAATCAACAAATACATTTATAAAATGTAAAAAGTAAAAATCAAGTGAATTAAAAATCTGAAGAACAGAATAAACTAGTGAATATAATAGAATCAGGAGCAAAGAAAGGGAGTGGATTGATAATTATCAGGGGGAAAAGGGGTGTGGAGGTGCAGGAAGAGACTGGACTAAAATCGTACAGCTATGGATGAGGACAATGTGAGGGAGGAGGTAAGGGCAGAGGGTGGGGTGGGAACTGAGTGGAAGGGAGCTATGGGGGAGGGGAAATAATTGTAATAATCTGAGCGATAAAGATTTATTAAATTAAAAAGAAAACAAAAAACAAAACAAAAGATTACTCTATCCAGCAAATCTATCTGTTAGAATTGAATGTCAGATAAACAGCTTCATTGACAAGAAAAAGCTAAAGAAGTTAATCACCACCAAACCAGTATTACACAAAATGTTGAAGGATATTCTTTAAGAAGAGAAAGAAGAAGAAGAAGAAGAAGAAGAAGAAGAAGAAGAAGAAGAAGAAGAAGAAGAAGAAGAAGAAGAAGAAGAAGAAGAAGAAAAAGAAGAAGAAGAAGAAAAGGAGGAGAAGGAGGAGGAGGAGGAGGAGGAGGAGGAGGAGGAGGAGGAGGAGGAGGAAATGAACACTGAAATGACATTAATACATAGCTATCAACAATTTATTCTAAAAATAAATAAACAAAAAATCTAATGAACAAAATAAACTAGTGAGTAACATAGAATCAGAGGTATAGAAACATGGAACAGACCGATGAACCTCAAACTGGCAAATCTCAATAGGGTAGTGAAGTCCTGAGGTGAGGCAGGGCAGGAACTAGATGAAGGAAGGCAATGGGGGGAAAGGGAGATATCTGTAATATTCTCAACAATAAAGATTTAAAGAAGGAGGAAAATGAGGAGGAAGAGAAGGAGGAGGAAGAAAGAAAAACCTTAGAAACAAATGAAAATCAACACACAGCAACACAAAATCTCTGGGACACAGCAAAAGAGTCCTTAGAGGTAAGTGCATGGCACTGCAGGCCTACCTCCAAACACAAGAACAATTAATAATAAACTATTTAACTCCACTACCGTGTCTCCCCGAAAATAAGACATCCTCCGAAAAGAAGACCTAGCGCATGGAAAGATAAGACATTCCCTGAGAATAAGACCTAGCGAAACTTTGGGAGAAAAAATTAATATAAGACACTGTCTCATTTTCTGGGAAACTGAGTACTTAAAGAACTAAAAAAAGAACAACAAGAAAAGCTCAGAGTAAGTGGAAGGAAGGCAATAATAATAAAGAAGGAAATAATGTAAAAAATAGAGCAGAAATAAATTACAGAGACTAAAAAAAAAATACAAAAGAATAAGTGAAACAAGAGCTGGTTCTCTGAAAGGGAGCATATATCAACATGATAAAGGCCGTATATACTAAACCTACAGCTAACATCATACTCAATGGGCAAAAATTAAAACCTAAGAACAGGAACAAGACAGGGATATCCACTTTCACCACTTTCATTCAACACAGCACTGGAAGTCCTGGCCACAGCGATCAGATAAGAAGAAATAAAAGGCATCCAAATTGGAAAGGAGGAAGTAAAACTGTCATTATTTGCAGATGTCATGATAGTGTACATAGAAAACACTAAAGTCTCCACCAAAAAAACTACTAGATTTAATAAATGAATTTGTCAATGTACCAGGATAAAAAAAAAATCAACACCAAAAGTCAATGGCTTGCCCTAAACACTTTGGCTCAGTGTATAGAGCGTCGACCTGAGGAGCAGCAGCAGCCAGGCCCGGAGCAACCAGGCCTAGAGCAGCTAGGCGCGGAGCAGCCAGGTCGGGAGCAGCTAGGCCCAGAGGAGCAGCAGCGGCCAGGCCCGGAGCAACAGCAGCCAGGCCCGGAGCAGCCAGGCTGGAACAGCTCGCTCCTCGCCTGCCCATGCCCCAGGGCTGCTTCTCAGACATGGCTGGAAACTTTTGGGGGAACTTGAGGGTCTGCTGAATCAAGTGATGAAGGCTTAGATCTGGATGTGTTGAGTTGTTGTAGCGCTGGGTTGTTGATCTGTATGTGCCTTGTGGGGGGTCTGGATGAGGTTGGTTGATCTATTTGGATATGTCTTTTGTTTGAAGTGTATCCTTGGGAATGTGGAGGTAGTATTATTAATTTGAGAAAATGCTAAGTAATTGATTTGCTACCTGAAAATTTTAAAGTTCTGTAAGTTTAAGGTCTCTTGCCAAAAAGAGGTTTTAAAGCTAACACCTTAATTTTAATGAAAAAAGGGGAGGACAAGCTCTTCCCACCCAGAACAGGTAATCCAATTCCAGCCAGCAGCTATCTTTAAACAATATGTTCATTTACATTTGAATGGCTATGCCTTTTGATAGCCCAAGGGCAAATTTACATGTAAACAAGTTTGCTACTCAGTTCCCAGGGCAGAAAAAACAAGGTTTAAAAGTATTAGATTTTAGCCGAAACCGGTTTGGCTCAATGGATAGAGCGTCGGCTTGGGAACTGAAAGGTCCCAGTTCTATTCCGGTCAAGGGCATGTACCTTGGTTGCGGGCACATCCCCAGTGAGGGGTGTGCAGGAGGCAGCTGATCGATGTTTCTCTCTCATCGATGTTTCTAACTCTCTATTTCTCTCCCTTCCTCTCTGTACAAAATCAATAAAATATATTTAAAAAAATAAATAAAAATAAAAGTATTAGATTTTAAAATTTATTCTTAAAAATATAAAAGTTTATTAATTAAAAAAAAAACAAGGAAATTAAAAAACCTGATGAACAATATTAACTGTTGATTATAATAGAATCAGAGATACCGGAGGGGAGTGGACTGACAATTCTTGGGGGGGAAAGGGGAGTGGTGGATGCGGGAAGAGACTGAACATAAACTGTGCACCTATGGATGAGGGCAATGGGGGGTGGGGAAAGGACAGAGGGTGGGGTGGGAACCTGGTGGAGGAGAGCAATGGGGGGGCGGGAAGGAACATTTGTAATAATATGAACAATAAAGATTGATTAAAAAAATAAAAAAATAAAAATAAAAATGGGCAAAGGTCCTACATAAACACTTCTCCAAAGTGGATAGACAGATGGCCAGGACACATATAAAAAACCAGAGGCCTGGTGCACAGGATTCATGCACTGGCAGGGGCATGGCCTGTGGGAATCAGCCTGCTGTGCGAGCTCTGCTCATCCCAGTCAGCCAAGCAGCTGAGGACCCGCCCTCTGAGCAACTGCTCCCTGGTCCAGCGTCTTCCATGGAGCTGGAACACTCGCCTCTTCAGGGGACCCGGTCGGGCCAGGCCCAGGGACAATAGCACTGAGAGGCGGTGGAGTAGACTTCAGGCCCATGGCAGCCACAAATCTGCCTCCCAGCTTCTGGGGTCAGCTCTGCAAGCCCAGCAGCAGCACTGCCCAGCCTGCAGGCATTCAGAGGAGGAAAAGCCTGGGGCAAGGAGGCAATGATCGCAACCTGGGTTCCTGCCCATCAGCCTGGGGTTCACAGCAGGAGCAGCCGCTCCTTCTGGTCAGCTGAATGGTATACCCACTGCGGTAGCTCACTGACCACCAGGGGGCAACTCCTGCATCGAGTGTCTGCCCCCTGGTGGTCAGTGCATGTCATAGCAACTGGTCAACCGGTCGTTCTGGTCTTTCCGCCATTCAGTCGCTGGGCTTTTATTATAGAGGTTGCTCAAAGTCACTGATTATCAGAGATGCATATTAAAATAACAATGAGGTATCACCTCATATCTGTCAGAATAGCTCCCATCAACAAATCAACAAATGACAAGTGCTGGCGAGGATGTGGAGAAAGGGAACCCTAGTACACTGCTGGTGGGAGTGCAGACTGGTGCAGCCACTATGGAAAGCAGTATGAAGTTTCTTCAAGAAATTAAATATGCAACTGCCATTGGACCCAATGGATCCCACTTCTAAGAATATATCCTAAGAAACCCAAAACACTAATCAAAAAGAATGTGTGCACCCTTATGTTCATAGCAGCGCAATGTACAATAGCTAAAATCTGGAAATAGCCTGAGTGCCTGTCAGTAAATGAGTGGATAAAAAAGCTGTGGTACATTTACACCAGGGAACACTATGCAGCAGTGAAAAAGAAGAATCTCTTACCCTTTGAGACAGCGTGGAGGGGCCTGGAGAGCATCATGTTAAACAAAATAAGCCAGTCAGAGAAAGACAAGTATCACCTGAGCTCACTCATACATGGAATCTAATGAACAAAATAAACTGATGAACGAAGTGGATCCAGAAACATGGAATCGTGGAACAGAGTGTGGAATCTCGGAGGGAAGGTGGGGAAGGGAGGTAATCAGCCAAAGAACTTGTATGCATATACACATAACAATAGGGTGGTGAAGGCCTTTGGGTGCGGGGTGGAGTGGGCTAGAAGGACATATGTAATACTTTTAACAAGAAAGTTTAATTTAAATATACAGTATTATAATATTATAGTCAACTGTCATTGAAAAATAAAAAATACTTTAAAATAAAAAATTAGTGCCTGAAAGAATTACTTAAGAGGAGGAGGAGGAGGCGGAGGAGGCGCTGGACTGGGGGGATTGTCAGTATTTAAACAGACCACACCCTGCGTGAGGACAAGCTGGTGGTCCTTGGCTCAGGAGGCGTGGGGAAGTCTGCTCTGACAGTTCAGTTTGTTCAGGGAATTTTTGTTGAAAAATATGACCCAACGATAGAAGATTTCTACAGAAAGCAAGTTGAAGTAGATTGCCAACAGTGTATGCTCAAAATCCTGGACACAGCGGGAACGGAGCACTTTACAGCGATGAGGGATTTGTATATGAAGAATGGCCAAGGGTTTGCACTAGTATATTCTATTACAGCTCAATCCACATTTAATGACTTACAGGACCTGAGGGAACAGATTTTACGGGTTAAGGACACAGAAGATCCGATGATTTTGGTTGGCAATAAATGTGACCTGGAAGATGAGCGAGTAGTTGGCAAAGAACAGGGTCAGAATTTAGCAAGACAGTGGTGTAACTGTGCCTTTTTAGAATCTTCTGCAAAGTCAAAGGTCAACGTTAATGAGATATTTTATGACCTGGTCAGACAGGCCAATAGGAAAACACCAGTGGAAAAGAAGCAGCCTAAACAGAAGCCCTGTCTGCTGCTTTAGGCCCACAGTGGGCAGCAGCTCTGAGCCAGATTACAGGAATGAAGAACTGTTGCCTAATTGGAAAGTGCCAGCATTCCAGACTTCAAAAAATAAATCTGAAGCGGCTTCTCCTGTTTTATATATTATGTGAAGAATTTAGATCTTATATTGGTTTGCACAAGTTCCCTGGAGAGAAAAAAAATTGCTCTATGTATATCTCTCAGAAAATAAGACAATAGTATTTCTCCTTTGCAATAGCAGTTATAACAGATGTGAAAATAAATATACTTGACTCTAATATGATTATACAAAAGAGCATGGATGCATTTCAGAAGTTAGATATTGCTACTATAATCAAATGATTTCATATTGACCTTTTTATCATGATTCCTCTCGTCAGGCACTAAACGTTGAACCATTATACTTTATATCTATAATGATATAGATGATGAAATTTCCCCTCAAACTCATTACAGCAGATAACTTTTTTGAGTCATTGACTTCATTTTATATTTAAAAATTATGAAATATCATTCTGTCATTATATTCTAATTAAAATTGTTTGTGCATAATGCTTTGGAAAAAATGGGTCTTTTATAGGAAAAAAAAACTGGGATAACTGATTTCTATGGCTTTCAAAGCTAAAATATATAATATACTAAACCAACTCTAATATTGCTTCTTGTGTTTTACTGTCAGATTAAATTACAGCTTTTATGAATGATTAAATTTTAGTACATTTAAAAAAAAAAAGATATTTGTTGGATAAGAAATCAGGTTAGTTGGGCCCTAACCCAACATATTTTACTTTAATGTTTCTATAATTAAGATTTATTGCTTTGGGAAATGGATTATCTTTAAACACCTGAGATAATTCCATTCATGTATGTTAGTATATTCATCCCTATCATGAATTTTCCCCTTATTTCCTTTTTAAAAGTTTACTAGTACTCTGAAGCACAGTAAACTAATAAAACATTGGAAGGTTGAGAAGTCAATTGTATTAAAATATTTTTGCATAGCTGAAACCGATTTGGCTCAATGGATAGAGCGTCGGCTTGGGGACTGAAGGGTCCCGGGTTCGATTCCGGTCAAGGGCATGGACCTTGGTTGCGGGCACATCCCCAGTAGGGGGTGTGCAAGAGGCAGCTGATCGATGACTCTCTCTCATTGATGTTTCTAACTCTCTATCCCTCACTCTTCCTCTCTGTGAAAAATCAATAAAATATATTTTAAAAAAATAATAAATAAATCAGTGTAAGGATTTAAAAATAATAATAATAATAATAATAATAATAATAATAATAATAATAAATATTTTTGCATAAAAGTGAAAGTTAGCCGAAACCGGTTTGGCTCAGTGGTAGAGCGGCGGTTTGCAGACTGAAAGGTCCCAGGTTCAATTACTGTGGGGGGCATGTACCTTGGTTGCGGGCACATCCCCGGTGGGGTAACTCCTTTGAAAATCCGACCTGGCCTAGTGAAATGATAGCAAAACACACACACACACACAAACAAACAAAAAAACACGTAGAAGTAATTACTAGATTTAAAAAAACAAAACAAACTTCCAGTACTATTCTTTTTAAAAATATATATTTTATTAATTTTTTACAGAGAGGAAGGGAGAGAGATAGTTAGAAACATCGATGAGAGTCATCGATCAGCTGCCTCTTGCATGTCCCTACTCCGCTGGGGATGTGCCCACAACCAAGGTACATACCCTTGACCGGAATCAAACCCGAGACCCTTCAGTCCACAGGCTGACGCTCTATCCACTGAGCCAAACCGGTTTCGCTGCTCTGACTATTCTTAGACGGTAACTCTGTGACCAGTAATATTAACTTCGATGCGAATGTGTGAAGGGAGCCCCTTATGAGTTCCGGGGGCGTTGCCGGCTCCCCTCCCATCGGAGGGCCCAGACTTGCTGCAGGAAGGGACACCCCGCAGGGCAGCTGCGGAGCAGAAAACAGGTCCCGGCCAGGCCTGGCCCGCAGACCAGGAACGCGGGTTTGGGTGCCAGACCCCGGAGACCCAAGCAGAGCAAACTGCCCGTCTGGTCCGCGTTCTGGTTGATGTGGGTCTGGGGTTCCAGGAAGCGGAGAGTGAGGGCTGAGAGGGAGCCGGTTCCCTCCGGGGTTCCTTCCTACCCGGCCGCCCTGGGGGCAGAGCGGACGCCCCAGGGGCAGAGCGGACGCCCCGAGGGCAGTGGACGCCCTAGAGGCAGAGCGGACGCCCCGGGGGCAGAGCGGACGCCCCGGGGGCATCGGGGCCGCTCCCCCGGGCACCGGGGCGGCGGGGAAGGACGCGCGGCGCCCGGTGCTGCCCGGAGCCCCAGCCTCCGGCGGCGCCGCTGAGCCGGAGCGGCTCCGGGCCGTGGCCAGAGCCCTGGCCGGGAAGCGCGGGCCGCTCCTGCCCGCGGGCCGGACCCTCCGCTCGGCGCTCGGGCCGCGCACGTGGCCCTCGGCCGCGCCTCGCTCCGCCCGCGCCGCCAACGGAAACGCAGCCGCCCCGGCGGACGGGCGACGCTGCCGCCATGGGCAGCTACCTGAGCTGGCCGCGCCCCCGGCCGCCGCCCGCCGCCCCGCCCCGGGCCCCGCCGGCGGCGCCCCCGAGCCCGGCGCCCGCGCCCGCCGGCCGCTGCGCTCCCCGCGCCGGCCGCGCTCGCTCGGGGGCCCCGGCCCCGGCCCCCGCTCGCCGGCTGTCGTACGAGGACGTGGTGGCCTCGCCGCGGCGGCGGCCCCGCCGGAGGGCGCCGGCCCCGCACCCGCGGCCGCTCCCCGCCCGGCAGGCCCGCTGCCTGCTGCTGGGGCTCCTGCCCGCCCGCGGCCCCGGGGCGCTGTGCGCGGCGGGCGGCGGCCGGGGGGCCGCGGCCCTGCGCCTGGCCCTGCGGGGCGCCGCCGTCTGCGTGTGGTCCCCGCCGGGCGGCCGCGCCGGCCCCCGCGCCAAGGAGGCCGCGGCCCCCGGGCCGGGCAGCCCGCCGGGAGCCGAGCAGGAGCGCGGCCCCGCCGCCCGGGGGCGCTGCGGGCCGGGGCCGGAGCCTGAGCGCCGGGGCCCGGACGGCGCGCGCTCGGCGTTCCGGCGCCTGGTGGTGAACGGCGTCCTCTGCTCCTTCGTGCCCCGGCCCGGGCCGCTGCGGAGGGACGTGTGCGCTCAGGCCCCGCAGAGCCGCGCGGGGCGGGCGTCCCAGACCAGCGTCCTGAGCTCCTGCAGCAAACGCAACGCCATCACCAGCTCCTACAGCTCCACCCGAGGGCTCCCCGCGCCGCGGCCGCCGCGCCCGGCCCCCCCGCCCCGCGCGCCCGCGGCCAGAGCCGGCGGCGAGGGCCGCCCGCCCGGCCCCCGCGTCCCGGCCGAACCGCGCGCGGAGGGCCCGCCGGACACGGCGGCGGGCGGCGCCGACGGGCAGAAGCCGGGCTGCGGCTCCCCCGCACCCGACGACGCCAGGCCCCGCCGGCGCAGGGTGCCGCTGCTGCCGCGGAGGAGAGACGCGGGGCGGCTCCTGCCCTCGCCCCCGCAGTTAGGCTTCCCGGTCACCGCCGAGGACCTGGACCGAGAGAAGAGAGCCGGGCTCCAGTGGATCCGCCGGGTCCTGGAGGGGTAAGACAGGCCTTCACGGCGGCGGCCCGGCTCCCACGTGCTGTGTGCATATGCATGATTACATAAGCGTGGTTCACATGTAACCAGTATGTTATAGTGGAATGAACACACAACACATGCCTGTGTTATACGTATACACCACACATGTTATACGTAGCATGTATCACTGCATATGTTACACATGTACATGCAACACACATATGCGTGTGTATACTATGTTATATATACAATACATAGTGTGTTTATACTACATATAATAATAGATGCTGTGCCCTAGCTGATTTGGCTCAGTGGATAGAGCATCGGCCTATGGACTGAAGGGTCCCAGGTTCGATTCCAATCAAGGGCACATGCCAGGGTTGTAGGCTCCATGCAGGAGGCAGCCAATCAATGATTCTCTGATCATTGATGTTTCTGTTTCCCTCTCCCTCTCTGAAATATATATATATATATATATATATATATATATAGAGAGAGAGAGAGAGAGAGAGAGAGAATACATGTTGCTCTGAATCCACAGCAGATGAGCAATTGGCTTGTGGCCAGACTCAGCTGCTGTGTTTTCTGTGGTCCAGCTAATGGATGCTGACTGCTGATTTGTGTGTATGCGTCTACCAGTGACCCGGTGCATGAAATTCGTGCACATTAAAAGGGAATGAATTAGAAGAAATATTTTAATATTCCTATTTGTCCTTTCGCTATAAAAGTGTCAGGAGGGAAAGAAAATTAGTAAAATGTATATAAAATCTCCCTCCTGTCAGAGTCTGTGGTGAGCGGCAGGATCTAGAGTCAAGTTCCCGCCCACCACCCCCACGCACTTCCAAAATGCAGGAGACCCAGACCCCTCACCTCCACTGGGTGAGACCCAGACCCAACCCCGTCAAGCACCCTGTAGGGGGGCGGGGAGCCTCAGGTCCCCAGTCAAGCCCAGCCCCCCAGCCCCACCCCTCACTCCCCGCCCACTGTCTGCGCTGATGGGGAAGTACGCAGGCAGTGTCACTTCCCTACCCAGCGATGCAGGCAAGCAGCTACACCCCAGCACCAGATGTTGGGGGCAGAGGTCCCTCCCTCGTACCCGCCCACAGACTGGCCCTGAGGGAATATGCTAATAACGGACAAATTAGCATATTACCTCTTTATATGTATAGTAGGATGGCAACCCATGCACTTACTTTCCACTCTTCTCACCTGCCTTCTGACCTCACTTTGAGCTAGATACATACCTACTGGATGTTAGGAAATGACTCAGGATAACTTTACTCTTTACATTTTTTTCTAATTTTCTATATATTTAGATCAGATAATCCCATCTTGTTTTCACCAAGCTTCTTCTTACGTTAACATTTTATACAACAATTACTGAAACAAGAAAATTAACAGTTACAGTGCTACTAGCCAAACTGCAGGCTTTAATCATTAGATTCCCCCATTTTTCCAGTAAAGTTTTCTTTCTGCCCCAGTATCAATCTAGACTCTAACATTGCATGTTTTTCATGTCTCTTTAGTTTCCTCCAAGCTGTGACCATTTCTCCATCTTAATATCTTGTGTGACCATCTAGATCTATACTTTAAGCTGATAGGCATTTAAATTCAAACACATTCTTTATTTTTCAAATATATATTTTATTGATTTCTGAGAGGAAGGGGGAAGGGGAGAGAGATAGAAACATCAATGATGAGAGAGAATAATTGAGCGGCTGCCTCCTACATGCCCCCTAATGGGGATCGAGTCCTCAACCTGGGTTTGTGTTCTTGACATGAATTGAACCTGGGACTCTTCAGTCCCCATGCCGACACTCTATCCACTGAGCCAAACTGGCTAGGGCCAAACACATTCTAAAAGCACTGCATTTTTATTTCTCCTCTATGCTTTATGTTTATGATGTCCTATTTTATATCTTTTTGTTTTGTATATCTCCTGAGTATTATTGTTATAGTTAATTTTGCTACTTTTGTTTTTTAATCTTCATATTAGCTTCTAAGTGGTTGATTAACTATGTTTATTATATACTACCGTGTTTCCCCGAAAATAAGACATCCTCCGAAAATAAGACCTACTTACAGGTATCCTTCTGAGTGAAATATAAGGCATCCCCCTGAATATAAGGCCCCCCCAGGCTCTGTCTCAGAATGCTATTGCTAAACATGAGAGATTTGGTCCACTGATTCTGAAAGAAATGGAGTCACAAGAAATTCACCAGGAAATTCAGGAATTGGATTGTTAGGATGATGTTCCAGAAGATGATGACATGGTTGTCATTGAATAAATGAGTAAATTCTTGATACTGTAGGATTCACAGTTTGTCTGGTTTGTGTTGACAACTGCCATACTACCGTACCATATACATGTAATAAATTTCCTTTATTTTCATTTAACAATAAATGTGTACCGTATTCTTCATGGAAAAATAAAACATCCCCTGAAAATAAGACCTAGCGCATCTTTGGGAGCAAAAATTAATATAAGATACTGTCTTATTTTCGGGGAAATAGGGTAGTGGCCTGGTGCACAGATTTGTGCACATTGAAAGGAAATTAATTAGAAATAATAGTTTAATATTGCTATTCGCACTTCTCTATAATAGAAGTGTCAACCAAATTCACGGTCAACAATGACAGATGGAAACACACACGTGTGATTGGCACCAGTGAGAGCTTTATATGTATTGTGCATGTGCAAGTCAACATATATTTTTAAATTGCCAATGTGAGTCATATGTACCAGTTGGTCAGACTATCGGACAAATGGTCAGTCACTTAGCCTTTTATGTATATAGATATGCCTTTACCATTGAAATTTTTCTTTTCTGTATTTATTATTTCTGGCTATGCCCTTTTCTTTTCTACATAAAGAGGACCATTTAACGTTTCTTGTAGAGCTGGTGTAATGGTGATGGACTCCTTTCGTTTTTGCTTGTCTGTGAAAGCCTTTATCTCTCCCGTTCGTAATGATAACTTGCGAGGTACTAGCATAGGGTTCTAGAGTTTAGGCTCCCTTCTTTCAGCACTTTAAATATTTCCTGCCCCTCCCTGTGGCCTGTAAAGTTGCTGCTTGATCCTATTTCAATCTTACATTTATTGGGCAGTTCTGCTGTTTGGGTTTAGCCTATATTTTGTAAGCTTGAGTTTACCTGTCAAAACCCTGAAATGCTCTTCTGGCGCCTTGTTCTGGGCTCCTATTTATTCCTACCAATGCTGTCCAAGACAGAAAAGGTTCCCAGGCTGCCTGAGATCCCAGGGCGAGGCGGCTGGCTCAGAAGCCATTGTTTCTGGGTTTTCTATGTCACTGGGAGACCAAGGGCTATTATTGTTGTTGGGTTTTCTTTTTCTTTCCTTTACTTTTCTTTCTCTCCCTTCCTTCCTCCTTTCCTTCCTTCCTTCCTTCCTTCCTTCCTTCCTTCCTTCCTTCCTTCCTTCCTTCCTTCCTTCCTCCCTCCCTCCCTCCCTCCCTCCCTCCCTCCCTCCTTCCCTCCCTCTCTCCCTCTCTCCTTCCCTTCCTTCCTATTTACCTACTTTCCTACCTTCCTTTCTTTCTCTTCTTTCTTCCTTCCTTCCTTTCTTTCTTTTTGTCTTTTTGTATATGCCTGTTGGTAGGTCCAGACTGACCTGGCTGCAAGTCCTAGAGGTTTTTAAAATGCTCCACAGGGACCTCATGCCATGCCATACCTCAGTCCTAAGTTCCCTAGTCAACCTTCTTTCTTCTTCCAGCCTCAGTCACCTCTACTTCCCTGCGGGATTGTCCCCGAGGCAGCCGGAGGGAGAAGCAGGGAGAAGTCTGCCTGCAGCGTCTTGCTGGGGAGCGGTGCCTCAAGAGTTGCTTGTGAGGAGAGTCTGTGTGACCTCCGCCCTCCGCCATCCTGAAAGTGCCGTCCTAACGTCAGCTTAGTTACAAACTCGCTAACAGAATTGCATTTATTCCATAGGTACCTTCTTAATGCCCACTGACTATTCCCATGAGTTCTTATTGTTATTTAGACATTTGTGTTTTTCAAATGGGTAAATAAACTAATTCTATTCGATGATTACACAATAATGAGTCATTTTTCATGCATTCCTGGTATATTCTCTAGGTTCACCTTTGTTCTTGCAGTAATTATTTTTCAGTAGTTCGAGTGAGGCTGTATGGAATTAAGGTCTCTTTAACATTCTGTATCTTTAATGACTCTCGTTAGGCCTCAGTTTTGAAAGATAATATAGATAGGTGCAGAGTTTTTCTACATACACGTCCTTACCACCTTGGTAGTACTGTGTGATCATTTGACGACACTATAAGTTTTGAGTCTGTTGTGCAAGTACACTTTTGCGGATAAGATTTTGTGTTCTGGTGTCAGGATCAGTCATTCCAACTCGGATGCTCGTACATCGGCATGTGCCTTAGGGTAAGTCACCTATCCTCTGTTTACTTACAAATAAAACTGGGATAATAAGTGAGAGTCACTCAGTGCTTAGCTAAGTCCTCCGTGAAGTCAGTGCTTTGTCTAATTACCCCTTATTTTTCGCTCCATAGTCACTGTTCTTTTTGTCTTTTCCAGGTGATGGAGTTTAGATCCAGAGCAATTAAATAACTTGAGGGTGGCAACATCGTGACTCATCCCTATATGAGCTGACCCGTAAGCCTCAGGCTTACTGTCTTCATAGTGCAATATCATATTCCTTGTAGGGTCATTTGATACTTAAAAAATATAATCACCTAAAGAGCTAACTGTAGTGTCTGTCTTATACTTAAGTGTTCGTTCATGTTATCTCTCACTACGACCCCCTACCCACTCCGCCCGCCATATGGGTGGCCAACACGCCCCTTAGAGAGCACTCCCCTCCCCGCTCCTGTGGCGTCATGAGAACACTCCGGGCAGCTGAGCTCTGGCCTCCTGGTTCACAGGTTGATGCTCAACCACTGAGCTACCCTGGTCGGGTTGAGATGTTGCATTTTGTGTTGTATCTATTTTGTCTGGTGTGGCCATGAGAGGCGGATCTGGGTTGTTCCTGAAGGATGTGGGGATCACT